GGAAAATGCCGATTAACCAGCACACTAGAACGTTTGTAAGTATATGCAGTTATTTATTATTTAATTCCTGTATATCACTAGAATTGTTCTTAGAGTCACACACACTGTAAAACAGCTAATTGTACCTGACACAAACTTGTGCTTATATGTTTTTAGGAAAATATACGTAGTAGTTACTACGTATACAGCATCATCAAAATCACGTAAAGGTGAATCATGCATGACCGTTAAACCAGTTTTAAAATAAACACGTTTGAATTCAAGCAACCTACTTTTCGTTTGGTTTCAGAAAGGTTTAAATTGGCAAGAGAATGTAACTTCATTGATTTTAGATACTTTAATGGATGTATAAAAAAAGTACTCTGTGATGCATATCCGGATTTTAAATTATCTATCAGAAGAAATGGACTGCCAATAGTGGGTCTTGCTTGGCCTATTCAGGATGTAAATAAATATCTATTTGATTCAAATTGGAACAAACATAAAAAATCGGAAACATTTGAAATAGAATAAAATTGTATCGTCCGCCTCGTAAAATATTACGTAACTAAGTAGTCATTCAAGGCTGTATAGAACATAAGAAAACCTATGCCTTTCATAAAGGAGAAATTTAAAATTGTATTAAGTAAGTTTATTGATGGCGGTATTGCTTATAGGCCTTATTGCCTAACCTAACCTAACGCACAAACCGTGCATGCCATAAAAAAATATAAAGGCGGTATTTTTTGCACGCAATCACATCGTATGCGATTGACTTCCTGTTTAGTTGTTTTGTGATTAATTTGTTATATAAAAGTGATGTTATCTTATGTTATCAACGTCAACAGAAACGGTACCTTTAAAATAAGGGATATTTTAGTTACCATAAACCACTTTTCACCGTAATTAATAATGCAGACAATGTTGATTTAATTAATATTTAAAACAAATGATAATAGTCTGATAATAATAATTACATAATTTATCAACATTCCTAATGATATATTAATGCACATCTGAAATTGACTATTGTAAAAAGTTTAATGTAAAATATTTCGTCGATTAGTTATAATAAATGTATATGAAATGAATAAATATATATTTATATATTATTTTCATTAATTTGTTAATTTACCCTTTCATACAGTATCAATCTTTTTTAAGTTAAATAATCTCTTTTTGCGTCTGGTTAGACTATCGAACTTAAGGAGTAAACTCCAGTCGTGCGTCGGAGCTGACACACACAATTTATTTCGATAAAGTGGAAGTGTGAACTAAATGTCTACCATTTAGTTCTTTCTCACTTCCAAGCCTTCAAAACTTCACATAGGCTTGCTGAATCGATACATTACGTGCCCAGTACTCCAAGAAACATAGATAGAATATAAATTTTATATCCACATTTTTAAATAAAAAAATATAAAAAAAACGAGACAAACCTTTTCCTGCGAGAAACATGATTAAAAAAAAAGTTTTTTATAGTTGTGTACATATTCAAGAAATACGTGTTCGTGTTGTTTTAATTTACCTACCTTTAGTTTATTCTTAAACCATACCCTAACAGTTTGACGTTAAATATTTTAATTAATAACAACAGCAAGGCAAAGACGTCTATTTGCTAAGAAGTTTAAATAAAATGTATGCTGCATCACTTAAGGAATTACTTTGTGATAAGAATAGATAAAATTAGAGAACAAGTGACATAATATCTAAATAGTTTAATTTAATTATTTCCGAGTGCGGACGTCAATTTTTGCAACGACCGAGTGATGTTCCGTTACAGTTCGTGAATAACATTGCAGATTAAGACTATTAAGTGTACATAACCATTCATCGTGCAAACTAATCTAATCGCAGTAATGATGACTGATTGATTAGATATACATACCAGACGGCATACAGAATACAGAACTAATACCGTCATAATTATTTATTTTGTACCTGAGTCATATGGATGTTTATATGTATTTCTATATAAATACACTTATGTAATGTATCAGTATAATGATGTATTTTATCCGTTACCTATCTCATAACACAAGCCAATCACTAAGATTACTTTGGGGCTAGGCTAATTGGTGTGAGTGAAATATAAGTGAGTGTAAGTTGGTGCAACTCAATCTAAATGTCGTGATACCATGGTTATGAAGGTTTTTTGGCCATGTTTTAAACAATCAGATTAATATTTAATAAACGTGCAGTATGCATTTTTTACGATATTGTTTCGAATGAGAATATTAGCCAAGATAAGGTTATACATAAATCGTTATGGTAATGGATTTTCTATTCGAACTCCATCCTGTACTAGTATTCCCGATGGATATCCTACTAATCCTAACTATTCTAATACCTATTATAAATGCGAAATTGAGTTTGTTTGTTTGTTACTCAATCACACAAAAACTACTAAAAAGATTTGGATGATATTTGGAACGCATATAGTTTATAACCTGGTTCCTTTTCCGGTTCCTGTAAGATTCTCAAAAAAAAACGAGCGAGCCTTACAGTAGTCGCGCATAATGTGTAACATTTGAAATCTCACCTTACATTAGTAAAAAAGGAAATAAAGCCTACTACAAAAGGAATAAACCTTTTGAACATTTCACGAAATCACTCCCACAAATTGCAAGAAAGCGAGAGGAAAGATGTTACACATCAAAAAAAACAAACTTAACACGGACGAAGTCGCGGGCGGCCGCTAGTTATGTAATAATTTATTTAAACATCGTTTAACCAGCTGCAGTAGCTAGCAAAAATTGAATGAGGCAGTATTTTTCCAAAGTGACTACCTACCGACGCAGAGCTAGCTGCCAATGAATGATAAATTAGATAGTGATAAAGCATTCGAGTTATTTTTATCGAATGTAAGGTGTGACCGCTAATCATCACATTCTGTCGCCCCTGATACGATAACAACTCGAACTGTGAGAACTAAGTAGGTAACTTAGTCACATTACTTAGAAACAGGAAGCAGCACTACTTATCAATCGTCTTGAAAATAATATGCATTGGGTATTAGAAATATTAGTCATAAGATCGAATCGAAAGTATTTTCATCCGGATATTGCAAAATCTCTTGAAATTCTTAATTAAACGAAAAGACTTTACTTATTGAAAAGGATTTTTTTTATTGTAATCTTTATAGATTTGTTATATACTGGATAAAAAGATTAAGATCTTTTATATTAAAAATTATAGCATAATATGAACATTGGCGTAGCTAGGGATTTTTACAAGCCATCCAGCTGAACTAATATTGATTCAGAAAATATTTTTTAAACTAAAGAAAAATTTGTAACATTTGAATTTAAGGTGGGCTGAGTGGTTTCTAGGGTGGGCATTGTCCACTTTTGCTTCCCCAAGCTACGCAGATGAAATGAAGTTTATCCAGGTTATTATTACGCAATATACCTACTGTTTGGGAAAAATGAGTTTCAAATGTTCTCATTTATATTAAACTTCACAGGAGTGTACTTTCATGGTAGGTACTCCGTAAGTTCGAAACTAAAATACAACTTTGAACAGGTAGGTAGGTATTTAACCTGTTTTATCGTGACCTACAACACAAATTCGACAAATTATTATTTTGTTGCTTATTCAAGAAGATATCATTATAAAATTATAATTTAACCTTTAAAAAGAACGCAGTATAAATAATTTAAGATGAGAGATAAACTAAGACGACTTATAAAGATTGGTACAGGCTAGAGTCAATGTCCTATTGTATCTTAACTTACCTACGTAACTTAAATTCATTTTAAGTTATTGTACCTAGTTACGAAGATCAAAATGTTATCAATTTTAGAACTGGCCGGTAATAAGGTCGAGCAGTGCTCAATCATAATTAAATAATTTGAGTAGATAGACATGCTCGATACATAAACATTGACTGTAATTAAAATAGCGTGAGATGTTTGTTTTGACCTACATAATGTTGTTGGTTTACATTGGCGCAGAGCAAACATCAAACACTAACGATCGACAAGTAACATTTTACGTTTATTCATCAACCGAATCTTAGAATATGAGCAGAATTTACTAGTGTAGTAGTATGTAGGTATAAATGTACCACGTGAAATGTGAATGTTAATTTTCACAACTCCAGTTTTGAATTAACGTGCCATGCTTCGAACAAAAGGCGATAGAACAAAGCACAGCCCGGTGCGCACGGGCACAGGTAGAGGCAGTTCTTACCTTTTGTGTATTGCGCCGACGCAACCGCCAACCAGCCGACCAAAAACGCCACAAGGATTCCTTCGGCCCAGCGCGGCATCTTACAGGATACGAACTTACAACAAACTTGATAATTACAATTTCAAAACACGTCACAGAAACTTGTCACAGGCCACGCACTCACAGTGTCTTGTATTATTCACACAAAACACGCACACTATCACAGAACTCAACGCACATCCATTTATAAAATGTTCGTTTCTTCGATAAGGTAACCGCTTCGCGACTCGTGGGACGAAGCATGCAGGTAGAACGAGTAAGCCTATTAAGTTTCAATGACTTAAAACTACTTATTTATAAAGTTCTACGTTAATTGAACACTATACGCTATATCGGAAGCGGTAGTTCTGTACAGATTTATCTTTGAAAACTTCACATATTTTCGTAAAATTATTTCGAAGTTCGGAGCGTTAACGGGCGTGACGCGAGACACGACAACCCGGCGCATCGTTCGCGGCAGACTGGCGTGAAGTGAGCGAACAATCAACAAGTTGCGGTTGCGAGGCGGGCGGGCCTTGGTTCGTTCATTTTGCCGAGCATGCGCGTTTGTGTCTATATTCATAGTGAACTCGAACAAGTAAAGTATGTGACGCGGCACGACTGCTGCGCTTGCCGGTTGCGGCGGCGGGTCAGCGAAACTTTGAAACCAGTTTATTTTCGCGCAAAAACAAGAAACAGGATTTCTCTACAAGTTGTTCCCGACGCGAAACTTTCTAGTCTGGTCAGCCAGGATTGTAAATTGTCCATTCTATTATTAAAGTTAGCGTCATGAATAATTGACTTGTATTTTTACTTATACTTTTATTAAGATATTACAATTTTCCTTCACATTACTCGCTTAATTTTATAGGGGAAATATTACATGAATGGTTAACAATTAACATAACACTCTTGATTTTGCACCATAGTTGCATCTTCATCTCCATAACAACCGCTGCTAAGACTGTCTCGATCCTGCAAGTAGACGGGTACAACTCTATAACTTCCGAGTATAACGAAAATCAACACTGACAGCTGAGTTGGTTCAATTTAATGAAGCCGACCAATTTAACTACATTAAAGCTAATGAGTCGTTGAAGGTCGTTGACCTTTGAATGGCTATTATCATTTTGAAGCTTACAGAATATTCCATGTATATTTCTTGTAGATAAGTACCTATTTTTATCTTAAGCATTTACAATACAGTAGTATTTATATGCAAGTGATTAATAATTTGAAAAGATATAGGTATAATAGATTAAAAAATTACACAACCGCATCAAAATGATGAATTCTTATTAGGAAGTAATTATAACTTGATTGAATATTAGTTGCTTTCCAATTAATTTATCTATCGCCCACAGTAGCTTCCGTAACTATTCTGTTTGTTGATAAATGTTAAAAAAAAAAGGAAATTAAAAATCTTCTACCTTATCTCATAAGTTCTAAAAACTGTGCTATGAGCTTAGATTAAAACAAAAGGGAAGATACGGCATTCGCGGCTCAAAAGTGATCCGCTTAAATTGTGGTCCACGACCATAATTCGCTTTAGTCACAATTTGACATTCAAACACGCACCATGTACACTAAATGTAACAATATTGCGTATATTCTGTGTTATGACGATATAACAATGCCTTCGATGATTTTATAAAGAACACAAATAGTTCAAAATCGAATGCCCCGGCAACACTTTTCATTCGTAAAACTGTGAAAACATTTGTTCTCAAAAACAACAATACGCTGCGTTGAAGCGTATAGTTCTGTCTCGCTCGCTCGAGTGATGTTTATATACAGACGTGTGCGTGGCGAGAGTTGCTTGTAGCGATGTTACGGTCTTTAATTTTGACAAACCGGATTTGATCGGTTAGCAATACATGCAAATCGGTTTTCGAACCGAACCGCCAAATTTTTAGTAAACCGCGATTTGAACCGGTTTGAACCGTTTGACGAGTTGACGAATGAAACTTATGAAACAACAGGTGTTAAATTTTTTTTATTCTACATATTTTGTTGATATTACAACGTGCAAATATTTAAAGGTAATTGAAAAATCAGAATTAAAAATGTCAAAATAAAAAAATATCAATTAAAACAGATATCTATGTAATACCGTGTTTAAAAAAATACTAAAAAATATATATAAACTATTTAGGAATAATATTTGGTCTACTTTTTTAGAAGCTTGGCGATTACGTCGCATATTACATAATAATGAAAACAAAACTACACCGTCAAATCAGTCAAATCTACCAGAGTCCGTTTCACTTCGGTTCGGTCGGTAAGTCGGTTATGGCTGTTGCGCTAAACGTATCCGCTGCTGTGTGTGTATTGGTCGGTCAATTTTGTTCGGTCGGTAAAGCACGTCAGGAGCCGCGCGCGATTTGTGGATGGCGGCATAAACAAGAATTGACATGCGCGCAGCGCATTGCAAACGAATGCCACGATAAACCGGTTTACGAAGACGTTAACCGATGCAACTTGGTCTATGCTCAAACCGGTTTGAACCGGTTTGAAAAGTCGAGTCGTTACATCTCTAGTTGCTTGTGTAGTTGAGTCGGATCATATTTTATTTGATGCTAGTATGAGCGTACCGTATCTACCCTTTTTGTTTTAATCCTAGTCCTAAATAGTCTTTTGTTCATATTCCTCTCTCGAATTCCAGCAGTGAATTCGGTTCGGGACCTAGATGCTCCACAGGGTTTAAATTTATTTTTAAATGTACACCAAGAGCATTTACGTGTAAATAGGTGATCAATCACATTTTAAGATAATCTAATATATCAGGTGCTTATGATACTTTTATTTAATAGGCGTACCTACTATTATTGTAAACAATGCAATGATAATTCAAAAGCCTATTAGATACCTTGGCCGAATTTCTTCTAGTACGATTTTCCTTACTAAATTAAAGTAAAATATAAAAAAACCTAATCTTGACAACTCTAAAAGGGGTATAAATGTCATATAATTCATATCATATATTTTGACCCTAATCAATCCAATTCGAGCGAGCTGAGGGTGACCGCGGCCGAGTGGTAGGCCAGACATGAAATGGCGGCTTTTCATGATAAACCTAGGAATTCCATGATCTAACGAGTTATACATACGATCAGGCGAAGACATCTACGTAATATGGCATCTAGGTTGTCTATATTTACTCACATAGAATTCTCTGTACAACTGTCCAGCATAACGCTCTTCAATCGCAAGTTTCCTTCTAGTCTGGATGCCCATACCACAAGATCCGTAGTAGGGGATGCACTGTGACCATTCCCCCCAATTTTCCATGCAAGTCACTCTCTGTTTAGACTCTCCTAATCGAGGATACTCTTCAGTTTCTCTGAAACAAAATTACTAGAGGTTAGGTTTTCGTGTAAAATCCTCACGGATACAGCCCGCTATAAGGATATGTTATGACAGACTCTTCAAAATGTCCGTGGAGTATGCCTTTGGCCATCTATCTATCTCTAAGGTTTCATCTGATGCGAGCGTTTTCTGAGAAGAGGACAAATACTACATTTAAAACTAAGTACAAGTACTAAGTATACTTTAAACTAAGATCTGTTTATTTTAATATATTTAAATTTCTTTTGATTATAAATTTATGAATAATTAGCGTAAGGAACCAAATAGATCGGAATAATTTGTATGAAAGGATGAAGTATGGTCGCTCAGTCAAAAATGTGGTCTACGGTAGACCGTCTACTACTTTACAGGTAAATATCATTTGCATCATTTGCATATATAAAATTAAATGTAACTAGGTTGTGTATGAGTAAAACCATCACAGCAATATTTTGAAATGTCAAATTACCTAAAACAATCTTATTTTGAAAAATAACATTTAACTTCAACCTTGCCAACTTTATTTAAGTTACATAGGAAGTTTTGCTTAATATTAGCCACTTTCTTGGCCAACCATACACATCTCTAAAATATTTCAACTTCTAATACACATAACATTCAATTAACTAACATCCAACATAGCTGGAAGGAACAGATTGTTAACTATATATTGTTTTAAACTTTCATGGTCACTAACATTATAGTAATATAAGTTATTAACGGGATTGTTACCATGTACCTTGTTTTTAGCGAGTTTCCGATATTTCGGCACTGGTCTGTTACTCCGTGATCATGGCGCTTGCAACAGTGCCGAAATATTAGAAATTCGCTAAAAACAAGGTACAATCCCGTAAATAATTTATATTACTATAAGATTGTTAACAATATAAAAAGGTTTTGTGCACTTACAACATTGCCCAAGCCTCAAACTCAACTTCCATAATTATCCGACCTAAAATCAAATCAGTTTACACCCCAGAAAACATCTTGAGCATCAACCATAGACAAGGAATCCAGCGCAGTAGAAATTTTTCATACAAATACTTCTACTGAGTAAGTTTATTAATGTGTCTGTACCTATGGTTCTGGTCTAGAGGTTTACCTATGTATACTTATGCAAATCTAAAAAGGATGAGAAAATGTGAATTAAGGCCATGAGGACAATAGTGGCCTAACTCATTTTTTACAATATTGAGTTAATGATTTTTTCCAGTTTAAATTGATCATTTTGATAGAACCAGAGTGGTCTAAAAGTGATACAACGAATATTCACTAGATGGCAGCATAATCACTGTTACGGTTTTTAGTCAGTGAACTAAATTTGAGGTGCTATACTAGCCTAAGTAAAATAGGCCACTATGATTAAAAAATGAGTTAGGTGGCCTAACTCAACTCATGGTTCTCATGGCCTCAATTATCTAATTAATTAATTTAATTTAGGTAACAAACAGTCTCATACAAACAATTTTACAATTTATGTTTACAAATAGACCTAAAGTACCATTAATTGATATATAATTATTATATTCAAGCGGTATAAAAGTGACGGATAACTGTTTAAAAGTGTGCTATAATAAATATACTGGGCACATTTAAATGACACTTTCCTTTTTTAAATTAAGTACTCACATCATAATAATTATAATTAAAAAAAAAAATGGTTGCCTGTAAAGTCGGTTTTACGGGCGAAGATTTTACGTGACAACGTCTTTTTCTCGGTAGAATATTTATTGATATGAATATAATTAAATTGCACAATAGGAACAAGGAATTGAATGAAAATAAGAATTGCACAAATTTTAACTATAGAAATATATTTTTTTTACTAAAACATTGTACATGTAAACTTAAACTTAACACGAGAGACTCATCGTAACGTTACCGAGCGTTACACTTTTTCATAAGTGACTCCCAGCCGCAACCTAATTTAAGACGTTGTCACGTCAAAAATGTTAAACTAAGATGTGTTGATAGAAAAAAAAGGTTGGTAATAATGGTGCAACTTATACATCTACGCCACTTCGTCGCTGATCGAGGTGACAAAATATACGTAGATATTTATTTAATTTTACGTTTATGTTTACCGATGACACTAATCGTAACGCGAAATCGTAACACATTCGCCAGTTTACCCCCCAAGTCAAGCGTGCTAAGTTTCACTTCAAAAAACCGGTGACTATCAGAGGTAGATTTCCATGGACACGTTGAAAAAATTAACGGGTTACGTGACTATCTATTGACAAATAAATAACATTAGTCATATTTTATTCTAAATCGATTTGTGATGGCTGAACAGTTAGGTTTCTATAAATAAAAATTCAGAACACAGGCAACTGTGAACACGCAATAGTACTCAAAAAGGTGTACATTTACAATGAAAAACAAAAAATAGATTTGTTAAAACGAATAAGTAGTCAATATTTGGACGATCTAACAACAATTTTAAGAAATGAATTTCACGCATGAGTCTTTTGAAATTCGCTGGGGCATAGCGGCATCATAACCTAAATTTAAGAATCTAATCTACGACCGCCAATTTGCAACCGGTAAACCCAAAGGAGGTTCACAAATCTTAAGTTAGTTACTAAGAATGATTAAGCAAATACTTACTCGACTGTGTCGTCATGTTGCGGTATTTCCGTCTCTGAAAATCAATTAAAAAACCTTTTTAAGACAATTGCCCAAAAAATGCATTTACGGAGGTTGTATACATTGTTCGAAAGTTCTAAATTACCAACCACACATGGCGCCGTGCGTTTCCTTTACGGTTTTTTTTTTAAATTCGGTCGAACCTCCTTGGAAGCTATTTTAATCTATACCTCTGCCTTAATTTTGTTATGTATGTACTAAGAAAAACAGACGATGTAGTTCTAATTTTCACCACCCGTACGTGGCGCCATTTGGAAATGCGCGCCATTTTCTTATTAGAAAAAGTTTCTTTATTTTTTTATTCTTTGAAAACCACGCGTTTATTGTCATAGTTGTGAATTAGCGAGAGTCATCCAAATATAGATAGATCTATCTAGCTTATGATGTTTTATAATTATAGGTAATTGTCCGACTTATTCGGGCACGCTCTCTCGCCGCGGCTACACTACGATACAACGTGTAAAAATTCTACATTTTCCCGACAAAAAGCCCTATGTGTGTTTTACGATACTCGTAGTACACAAATTACAAGGAAACTATTATAGATAAGAAAAATGTGTCATTTCATTCTTAAGTACAGATTTAAAGAAATTATTTTAAAAATATTTAGTGATTACTTCTTTTGACAGTTGCTGACACCCTTGACACGTGGAGGCCTAATAGCGAGATGTAATCTGCTTTATGCATGAGAGTGAAAGAAACTACTTTAGTGCGCTCTATTGGGGCGGGGACTATTAGTACCATGATAAAATGCAAAAATGTTGAAGTATAACCTGTCTATATTTTGTATGTCATTATATATAGCACTAAATTTCAGTCTTGCGACCACCGAACCTGTAAAGAATCCGAAACGTCAGGAATATTGAAAAAGTTAATAAATTGGGCTGAAGTCACTTGTCGCAGCGCTGACGTTGAACGAGAAGCTAGTAGAGCCAGAAACTAGAAACGAGTTGGCGAATAGCGGGAAGCTTGCTGTTCCTATTGTTTTATCGCTGTGACAGTCCTGAGCAATAATGCACGCGCACGCGTGTGACAAGGGTTGCCACCTTTTTTATGTATAATAAAGAACATTGGATATTAAAGGTTGAAAAAAAGTACATTGTGTCCAGAATAAAGTACTTTTTTTTCCACTTTATTCGTAAGCTAAAAAATATATTTTACGTTGCTTGAAGCAACTTTTAATAAATAACTTGTGGCTACTAAAAATCTGTAGCTCATATCCGCAATGGGAAAGACCATTGTAGATGTACAAAGTCATACAGCTGTGACAATGTTGCAGGAATGAGTTAAGGGCGACATATTATACATACTGTTGTTCCGTTTTACCCAAACATTCTTCCTCTTTTTGTACATTTTATGTAAAATTAATCCCCAAGTAATCAAATCACATTAAATAAAGTATTTTCGCGTACTTTATTGTTGGCATAAAGTATAGAGTACAATTTCCCGAAATAAAGTACAATATTTTATAATAAAGTACGGGTGGCAACCCTACGTGTGGCGGTCAAGAGAGCATCGCTGAGCCATTATTATATTTTGGAGCGAGTTCCGTCGGCAGTGTGAACAGCCATGCACCTCTTTTGTTCACCTGTGTACGTTTCTTGAGCGAGAAAATAGCCGATAGCTAGCTAGTTGCTTATACCCGTTAAAAAAGTGTTTTATTAAAATGATCAATGTATGTGAAATGTAAAGACCCCAAGTAAATAGGTTTAATAATTATCTATGTTCCATTTTTTTTATCTCAATCGATAGACAAACAAAGGTGGACTATGGGCACAGTAACACCAATAAGTTAGCACTCGTGTTGCCACAATGTAACAAGTTCTTCACACATCTTTTTTTAAAGTGCTTTCCTTTTTGCTGTATCTTTTCCTTTGGAAAATCCTCATACCGTAGATTGAACGCACACAGGAGCAAATGTCACTAAAAACGATAATATTTCCCTGATATCATAAATGCCAGTGTTTGGAATCAACAAATGGAACAATTTACGAGTATGCTTAAGTAATCAAATTTGGCATAGACTTTTTCTTTCTTTAGTAATCGTTAGCAAAGCCCTTGAAATAACTTCAACTAACAACTTATTTATAATTTTGACGTGACAACGTCTTAAATTAGGTTGCGGCTGGGAGTCACTTATGAAAAAGTGTAACGCTCGGTAACGTTACGATGAGTCTCTCGTGTTAAGTTTAAGTTTACATGTACAATGTTTTAGTAAACAAAATATATTTCTATAGTTAAAATTTGTGCAATTCTTATTTTCATTCAATTCCTTGTTCCTATTGTGCAATTTAATTATATTCATATCAATAAATATTCTACCGAGAAAAAGACGTTGTCACGTAAAATCTTCGCCCGTAAAACCGACTTTACAGGCAACCATTTTTTAATAAATAACTTTATGTTTAGGATATTAATACGCAAGGACTTTGAGTAAGTTTGTAATTCGTGGCCTCTATTTACATAGTTATAGTACTTTGTCATAACAATTGTTCGGAGCAGTCTTAATGTAGGTGAGTATCTATAGGTTATACAAGGAGTGGGATGAAAAAGTTTACGTTACTAAGAACATTTCTTTGAGTTTTGGTATGTTAGGGATATTTTTATTGTATTTTTTCTTAGGTTTTCACGCACATCACTCATTAAATTAAAGTTTTAACGGGTTAATGCACGAATGATGAAAATAAATAATGAATAATTATTCTGACGAAGCAGACCTGAAAAGGTTGCGAAACGTCAATAAATAAATAAAGTTTCGTGCATTAACCCGTTAAAACTAGTTTTATATTTTACTGGTTGCGTAAAAGAATCTCGTTTTCATTACAGCCTCCATTGCTGATTGATTGGTAGGCTTGCTCGATTCTGAGTTCCCTATTCTCATGCCCGATTTTGTATTTTTGATCAAAGTAATCGTGATCCTCCGTATTACGATTTCATGATGGACGCCCGTTTTACTCACTAGCTTATTTCTACGAAGAACGAATGAAAGCGCTTTGCTCTCGAATTCTTGAAGTGAATGAATGAAATTGGTTGAATTGAATAAATTTATTGTTAATGGAATTTGAGGTTCTGCAGCTTTTAAAAATGCGAGGAGACTATTTCAGAAGTATGAAATTCATTTAAACACATACTGAAAGGTAAAATTACGACAATGTAGGAAAAACGTGCTTAACTTAGAACTTAAACAAGTAAATAAAACGAATTTTACGGGTTTATGCACTGAATTTATTTATCTGACGTTTCGCAGCCTTTGCAGGTCTGCGTCTTCGCGTGAAAACCAAAGAAACAAATATTAAACAATTAAGTTAGATAGCTAGTACTAACTTAAGTAACAATTAAGAAGAGAGCAAACTAGCTCTTTTCGAATAGATGTGATAAACACTCTCTTATTCTCTTTGATGGAACCACAACTCAAGCTTATAAACAAAAATTGTCTTACCTTCAGTTTGTTTGTTTTCTTCAGAACATTCTTCTCCGATCAATTGGTATGTGTCCAATAGCCTGACCTCTAGGTAAGCAAAGGGTTTCAAGTCATTTAAGTTCATCTGGTAGAAGGGGGATTCCTTGTTGAATGAGCCAACTTCCACCCTGTTAATGTGGTCTGTCGGGGTGGTTACTGCTGTTTGTGACTGAAAAAATAATGCATATTTTTAGGAATCCTCTAAGGGCAGCGATATTTTAACTTTAATTGTCTTTATTTACATTTAGTTTACTTTATATTACCAGTTAATTTTACTTTGTCATGTAGGTAAAGACAAGCACTCTTTTTATTTCCTTAATGTTGTTAAGTTTCTTAGCCAGTGTTTCTATAACATCGATATTAAAAACATCGTTATTCTCCAAAGCTAATAGATATTCTCAACTTTCGTTTCATAGTTTAAATTTTAATAAAAATATATACGTTTTTTATTTATTTATCTACTATTAATGTTAATCCAAAAGATAACGTCTCAAATCGTAGTTACAATATATTTTTATAATTAATTCCTGCAGTAAGTGTTGTAGCAATACCTATTTAGTATAAGAGATGAACATCAAATCAAAATTTAAGGATCCAAGATATCTACTTAGTTTTTGATGTGTAACATCTTTCCTCTCGATTTCCTGAAATTTGTGGGAGTGATTTCGTGAAATGGGACGGAAGAGTGTAACAGGAAGTCGCGAAAGCGCGCGCTATTTGATTTGATTTTAAAACACAATGTTTAAATGGCTTATTCTTTTTGTAGAGTAGGTTTAATTTCTTTTTTTACTAATATAATGCGAGGTTTCAAATGTTACACATCATACGGGACTACTGTAAGGCTCGCTCGTTTTTTCATAATGGAGAGACCACGGGAGAGAATTTGAAGATATCTCTCATAGATCCAAGTCTCGTAATCCAAAAATGTAGCATTACTTATATCCTTAAATTGTTCATCATAATTTATATCTATTTTTGTAAATTTTTATTTTTGGGTTTTACACGTTTAGAGACGCTGCAGAATATGTTTATTGTCCTACCTCGTATGACACTCCGTCCATTACACCCGCATCCCAAGGGTAAAGTGGTATCCTGGCGTTGCTGAACCAACCATCGGGAGTGCACAGCTCGAAATTGGAAGTGCCCAGGAACCAATCAGGTGACGGCCTCATCCCCACCACTATGGAGAACTGGTGGTGGAACCTGTCCACCCTGAAGAGGGAGTGAGATGCTTCGAACATGTAAGGGTGGTGCCGTCTCTTACCCCTTATTAGCGTACGGGTTCCATTCTTTTCCGACATCTGAAAATAGACTGTCATTTTTATCGGGTGATGTTGATGGGTACATGAGTACCTTCTAGAGGACCCAGTGCAGAAAGATCCGAAACGCTCCGACCACACTGTCGCGCTATCGCGAAAAATTTCCGTTTCCACGAAAACTCGGGCAAAGCAATAGACACATTGCAGTACATGGTCATGAATGTAATAAATAAAAAATTAATATTTCCAACACTCACACCAATTAGCCTAGCCCCAAAGTAAGCACTTTAGCAGCTTGTGTAACGGATACAATACATATACTGTATATATATAAGTATATTTATATATAAATACATATTAAACATCCATGACTGATGTACAAATGCTCGTATTCATCACATAAACATCTGCCCCCACGGGGATTCGATCCCGGGATTCCCAGGACCTCTCGAGTCGGTGACACCATGAAACCCGGCGTACAAACCACTTGGCCACGGAGGTCGCATTGCTTGTGTATTCTAATGTGATTATTGCTTGGATAGATGCGTCGTGAAAATGGAAAATCTTCGCGTTATCGCGATAGTGTGACCCCAGCATAAGACAAGGTAAACAATTATTTTCATATTTTTGTATCAAATGATCATGCTTTCTATATTCATAAAAACTTATACCTAAGTAATACCTAAGCATTTTATAATCATGCGCTCGATGGCCAGAGAGCCTAAACTAAAATATGTCTAAACTATATTTGTGTGTGTATATATATATTAAGCTTTATACCGTCGTTCGTATTTTTAATTTTTCCAAAGGTTGACTGGGAGAGAATGCTTTTATCATTAAGTCCGCCTTTTACACCATTATTGTGTAGTTTTGTCAATAAAGTTATAAATAAAATATATAAAAGATATTCAGCCTACTTTACTAAAGTAGGTCTTCGAATTTTGTTAAACTTCTTCGTACTCTACGATGACAAATGCACTTAGGTATGCTGTCGCGTCATAAGTTTAATCTAACATTGATAATATTAAACTCTTATTGTCATGATAAGACTTTTAAAGTGCACTCGCCTAAACGGCCGTACCTTTGATACCTTTCATGTTATGTTAGGGATATAATATGGCGTGAATCCAAACACTTTTTTTTTAGAATATTTGGATTACCTTCTGTTAAGCAGCATGGTCTCCGTTTAAATTCTGGCACTTTCTACTGCAGGAGGATAATAGAATACGATTTTGTGTGCAGTGCAGACTTCTGTAAAGTTACATCTCAGGTGGGCACTTTTAATCGAGAAGATAGTCTGCTCCCTAATTAACTTCAAAACACCTGCTGCTTTACTAATTCTACTTTCACAATTTTCAATTCCTATATTTGCTGTTTTCATTGAGGTCAATTAATCTTCATAATTCGAATATCTTGCGATATCGTTACCAACCTTTTCAATAATTTCTCGTTCCAGTACCGTAGGGTCAGCGTTGACCACCAGTTGGATGAGTCCATCGCTGGCTTCTACACCCTGCTGCCATAGCACGTAGTACGCCGAGTGGGACGCACCAACCATGTGGGTGTAGCCGTTTTCATCAGGTTTACTGGGGTACTGGTGGGGGTGGGACACTCTAGACCACTTGCCGTTGAAAATCACCTGAAATAGATGACTTAATTAGGATATGTAATAAACTAAGGCACTGATTTAAAGAGGCAATTGTAAATAGCAGTTTTGGTCAGTTAAAAATTATAAATGGCACGTTTAATAACTAGTTCAGCAGTTAAAACTAAGCAGTAAAGTAAAGAAAAATGAGTTATAAAAAATCATGAAATGGATCAGTGAATGTAATTGAGCAGATAAATAATTAAATGAGCGGTAAAAAATATTGAACGAGCGGTTACGAGCTGGCAGTAATAAATTGAAATTTGTCGGTAAGAAATCTCATTCTAAGAAATTCTATAAAGAATGAGGTTGTAAAATAAAATAAAAAAACAGTACTTAAATAATAATTTTGATGATTTTGATTTTATTCTATTTGATTTTATTTGATTGATAATTGGTTTATTATGTAATTTAAATGAATTGTAATTATTTGAAAATGACATTTTTTATTATTGTGATTGTTATTGTAATTACACACATCAAAAGTGTCTAGGGATCAAGCATTTTTATGCGGATTTCTTGAGATTGAGATGTGGCTTTGTAATAAATTTACGATTTTATAAATTTATATGGATCCTTTTTGGTGCATTTCATAATTTGAATCAGGAACTGTGAATCAAATTCGAGTAAAAGATGAAAATCAGCTGTCAATATTTTCCCTATAAAAACATACAACGCATTGAAGACATTATTAGTGCTACTGTTTCCCTACTACTGATTAAAACCAACGTTATTATTTTTTTTTTTATTTATTTATTTGTATTCAGGCATCTTAGGCCCATAGAAATATATACCTTATAGTCTAACATAGATATGAAATATAAAATAATAACAAAATAAATTCTAAATAACACGTTTAGTCGGCGACGTGTGGCGCGGTGTGGTGTCAGGTAGCCTGCCTTTGAAACGCCGGAACACCACACCTTTCGGCCAAAGCTCCTCTTTCAAAAAGGTCGCCAGATGTTCCGTCGGCACTCTCACCACAAATGAATTAAAATTCACGTCGTGGCGAGACTCCAAACGTGCGACCCTCAGGGAGAAATTGGTCTTCGTACGCAAGTATTCTGCGATCCCTTCCGCCTTGGTGGTGTAATGCAAGCGGGATACATACAGTAGCGTCACAGGTATCGCTGGACGCAGCAGGTTATTCGGTCCGATCGGGGCGACACCGCACAAATTGCGACGAGTGGGCTTCCTCTTCTTCCTCTCCACCGTGATGAAACCCTCTTCGTAACAATTACGGTTACGTGTTTCCGTCGGAGTTGCACAAGGGATGTCTTGGCTACCCTTCTTCTTTGGAAGAGTGGAATTCCGCTCAGGTTGCGTGTCAGCGTTAACGTTTCGGCTGGCGGCCGCAGCTGCGTAAGCGCGTTTTGGTGTTAACGCGCAGTCGCGTGACGTCTCCGGTGTGGCGGAGGGGCGGGTGATGGGGGCGCGAGGCAAGGCTTCGCGCGCGATGACGGCGGCCGGTGACGCACTCGTATGCGCCGACTCTAAACTGCAAACGGATGCATTATGCGCCCCGCGACGTGTGTTCACGTTGGAGACCCCGGGTGACCTACTTGTCCAAGCGGCGCTACTTAATGACTCCAGTTGGGCTCGCAACTCACCGATGGTGTTGTTTGATTCTTCCAACTTGTTCACCACATCGGCCAGATTTGCTTTTAGGAAGTTGATGTCCTTGAGCAACCTGGTGACATCGACGTGGTCGAACGTGACGGGAGGGAGCTTGTGTAGCTCCTTCGCCACGAATGTAGGCACGTCATCTGGATCCAATTCTTTTAGCAGGGTGACGATGTCCTGCAGACTCTTCTCCGTTCCATCTTTCCGGCGAGATGGCATCTGATCGGCCTTACCGACGGACCGGTACAGTAACGCCTTGCCACTGCAAACCTCCTCTTCTTTGAAATTCGATTTGCAGATCTGCAGGATGCTAATCTCGTCCATTGTATCTATGGCGTTTTGAATGAACGCCAACAACTCGTTAGCTATGAGTTGTTGAGAACTCATTGCTACCGAAAAGCAGGACGGCTGTTGCCGTGTGACGCGAATAATAAATTCTCACAGCACAGTGGCGCACGTCCGTTTCCAAGCGCACATCGCACTGCACTGATTATGGAGCGGCGACGTCATTTAAGCAGGGAAGAAATGCTCAGAGCCGTGGGAATGATAGAAGCTGGTTCCCGGCAACGTACTGTGGCTTTAGCTCTGAATACAAGTCAGAGTGTTATCAGTCGACTTTGGACACGATACCGAAGCACTGGTACCGTGGCTGAGCGCCATGGAGGACGGTATCGCTGCACCACACGGAGACAAGACCGATACATTCAAATCTTAACTCGAAGAGCTCCAACAATAACCGCCATGATGTTAGCCGTGAGGCTTCATCACTCTTCAGGGAACTTAATTAGCGACCAAACAGTCAGAAACCGCTTGCATGAAGTGAACCTTCATTCCCGAAGACCGCTACGGGTACCACCTATAGCAATGCACAATCGTAGGATTCGATATCAATGGGCTCTTGAACACAGAAATTGGGCAGAAGAACAATGGCGTTTCGTGTGCTTTTCTGATGAGTCTCGTTTTGGTATGAGACCGGATACAAGACGTATACGACACTGGAGAACCCCTGGACGCCAACAGCGATTAAAATCCTGCCAGGAAGTCCATCCTTATAGTGGTGGAACAATCATGGTATGGGCGGGTATTTGGATCGGCGGAAGAACTGAGTTGATTTGGATCAGAGGCAACCTCAACGCTCAAATTTATGCTGAGACGATTGTATCAGACGTCATCGTTCCTCTACAAGTGCAAATCGGTCCCTTATTTCAGTTAATGCATGATAATGCACGACCGCACACCGCAAGAGTTGTAAGACAGACTCTCGCCGCAGCTAACATCAATGTCCTGCCCTGGCCTGCTCAGTCGCCAGACTTGAACCCGATTGAGCATGCATGGGATATGCTACAGAGAAGAGCTCTGCCGAATATGGAGGGTATCCAGTCGCAAGAAGACCTTTTTTTGTTGTTGCAACGAACATGGGCGGCCATTCCACAGCGTGATTTGGATGAACTCATTTTGAGTATGCCAAACCGATGTTCTTGTGTTGTTAGTGTTCGCGGTAGAAATACGGATTATTAATTGTTTAAGTTACCCAATAAAATTTTAGAGAAAACTGTTATTTCAGTCTTTTTTTCGAATTTTTGTGTTAGTGGTTCAAATGTCAAAAATCCCTTTATTAGGAAAATGGCAAATTTCTTTATTAATGCAAAGGTGACTTGGTTTATCGTTACTGTGACAAACGAAAACACTTTATTTGATGAATCCTTAAAGAAAATTTTAATTAATATCAATCAGGAGAAAAGTTATTGCAAAAATATATGTTGATCCCTAGACACTTTTGATGTGTGTATTTAATTTGATTATATATTATGTAATATGGGTACTACGCCTGAAATAAATGATTATTATTATTATTAATTAATAATTTAATTACATTTGCTTTGACTGAAGGAATTAAATAAAACAAATTGTATAATAATAATAGAAATTTTTATTCGTATTTCGAAACATACTTAAATAATCAAAATGAATTAGAATTTGCTAAGTAGCAGCTAAAATACACTTATTGTATAATAAGAGCAGGTTTGGCTTTCGACGGTCTACCACTCTTCCTTTTTAGTCCGAGTGGAATGTTTTTAGCTTTAACTGGAGGTACGGCGTACCTACTTCAAGCTTATGGACATTTACCTCTTTTTTCAATGAATTTGAGTTCGGTAGCACGAACCATTATCGAATTCGAATAGTTTGCGAGTGCAAAATGTCAATGTCAAATTTTGTATGGTAACTTGAACAGCAGCGCCACAAAGTACGTAACGAGAACTAAAAATCAGTACACATTTGACAATGACATTTCGGACTCGCAAACGTTACAAATTTGATATTGGTTCGTGCTAGGGGTACGGGTGTCACCGCTCGCTATGATCTGCCGAACTATTTACCGAACCGCTCATTCCATCATTTTTCCCGCACATTCAGTTATTGAACTTTTCGATTATGTTTAGAATTGACATTGTATGATAAAATAACCGACTAATTGATTTTTTATAACTGTCCATGTTTTACAGTCGCAATAATTAATCAACCGCCATTAAATAAAGTAACTGCTCAATATGTTTTTCAACTGATCATAATAACATCTCGTATATTTCAATCTATAAACAGATCAAAAAATTAGTTCCCAAAAACTAATGAGGAGCATATCTGTTTAAAATATTTAGGAAGGAATTCCTGCTCAAATAAGACGACCCTTCAAGTAGAGTAACCTCAGTCTAACAGACTATTTAATTTAAACTAGAAGTTTTTTAGAGTTCTACGGTGCAAGGAACGAGTTTGGGGTAAGCAACTAGCAACTCTGGTAAAGAAAGAAAGACCAAACTTTCTTGTCTGCGAGGTGTTTTACATAAAATGCACTATAATGTAGTGTCACAAAATAAAATGCGCCTTGTTTTTGTGTATATTGTAGTGGATAGAGATGCTAAAGCTCACTATGGTACAGGAATAGCGTTAAGTCTGGCCATCTGCGGGGGATGGTGAGGGCTTGGTGCACTTATATCTTCCACATCAGCGCCTGCATTCGTAACTTTTGAAATATCGTGATCGTCATTGTCGTCCATTGTACTTTATCTTACAATGTTTCCTATATCATGGACGGCAAGACACGATATGACGAAGTTCACGATACATCGATTCTTTATCAAAAACAGCCCCAGTTTCTTTTGCAAAGCGAGAGTAATATGTCCAGCATAAAGTTTTGAACACTTGAAAATAGAGAAATGATATACCTCATATCTGGCTTCACTGCACAGATTGCAGACTTCGACGGGCGTGGTAGGCGGGCTATCTATGGGAGGACGGTTGTCTTTATGAAGAAGTATCACCAGATGTTCATCATTCATGTACCAGACCTCTTCGTTTTCTGCCACCATTGCCCTTAGACGGACTTTTTGTTTGGATTTTTTGTCATTCTGCTTCGGTGAGATCCAGTGAATCTAGAATCAAAAGTGCAGAGTAGAATTTGTAAGTAATCATATTGCCTAATGCCTGCGCTTGCTATTAAATCTTATTGTATTTCTTTAACTTTTACTTGGTTTAAGAAATAAACGATATTCTTTTTATGGTAAAACGGTTGAATTTGACTGAATGAAAGTTGAAGAAGACTGAAGAAATTGAAGTTCAACCCAAATCTTGCGCAGTCTATTTGGTGGTATTAATTGGATATTCATTTGATAGTGTGAACTAAAATACATTGCCTAACAATTTCCCTTTATTTAATAAAGTACGATGTTCTATTCCTTCCGAAGGTGGCTATGCATTAGATATGCATTAGCATAATGACTAATTTATATGGGTAATATACCAACTACTTAGGTATGAATCCAGAGACCTAAGCACGAAGTTTGACTGCTCCGTAAGTGTATCGCATCGTTAAAATTTCTATGAAAACTAAGCAGCGGACGGACCCCTACCGGACGTAAGAACAAACTGACTCCTTCCATACAAAATTTGACGATGACGATATACGATTACGGAAGCTCCTAAAAGACGCGTTTCGGCCTTAGTTAAACTATCACAATTTTTTACCGAAACTTACATCCACTCTGTACTTGTCGGAATTGTCCATATTCTCCACGGAATTGAAACACCTTTCGCTGTACCTTGACTTTCTCCCCGTCTCTGTGTCCAAGGTTTTCAACCTGCCCACGTCCACTGGTGGTGATGTGACCCCATGGGTACTGTTGTCCATGTCTGGGTCTTCGGCAGTTATCATGAACCATCTGAACGGATGCAAGGCACTCGTCGACATGAGGGTCACTGAAAAAGTTTTGTAAGACCCGTTTTAACTAGTTTTTTTATATGAAAAGGGGTTACAAGTATTGCAAACAAGACCTTTCTCTTGTTGCCTGCTTGCTTGACCATAGCCTGCAATTTAAGTAAATCCTAAATGTGTAGCGATACAAAACATAATAATAAAAAAATATGATTCCTTACCAACGTATGTCTGATCCGGTAAGTAGGATAGGTTTTGCATTTTGGTCTCTATAATCATTTTGAATGTCCCTTTATTTTCGCTCGGCTCTTGTACTGATGCTTGCGGGGGTGTCTGGTCACATTGTTTCGGTTCGCATACGACAAAAAGGGATATCGTGAACCATAAAATTTGTTGTTTTTGAAACCTGAAAAGATTATTTTATTATTCAACTGATAATTCATAAATGTCCCATGCTTATCCCACACTTGTGTGACGAAGCTTCGGGTGGCTTTGGTACTAATATGCGCAAAGTTTAGCGTTCGCTTTGAATGCACATACAAATTTTTCACTGTCCACAACCTCTTTTATGCCTTGATCAAAATGATTCTCAGCCGAGACAGTGATGTAAGCAAGCGCTCGGGGCCAAGCAATATGTTTATTCGTACCGAGTACTCGGCCGAGAGCACTGTCTCGCACGTTTGTGTGGTACGTGTGATCAAGGCATAAGTGTGTCAGATTATTGCCAGCCAAGCTATCGGCGTATTTAGCGTGTCATAGACAAGCAGCTCGCTTATGCATCACAACAGAACTAATTCAAATATCGAACACAAATTTTCCCGAATTAAAAAGCCACCCGAAGCCTCGTCGCGTAGGTGTTAGAGAAGCATATGGGTAAAATTCCGAAGACAATATGCAGTGAGCATGCATCTTAAAACTAAATTCAAATACATAATATATCCATTTATAAAACAATGGAAACTTTGAAATAACCAATCAGTAGTATTAACTAAATAAAGTTTAAAGTACTCACATTTTGCGATCGCCAATATTTAGATCACAACATCAACATTACAACACTTTCGGCATGTGTTAACCTACCAAAATATTATTGAATCGCCATCAAAACTGGCAACACTGAGCACTTGAATTAAAACATTAGAATTCCGAGTGGTCACCAAGAAGCGCGGTCCTTTTTCGTTTGGTTTCAATCAGACTGGATCGGTTTTGTTAGGCGACAGAACTAGGTTTTATACCTCAAAATAAACCGATATTTCGGAGAGTTTGGAGTTGAGCCAACAACGCCGGCCGCGGAGTTTAGGCGATATGGCTTTTCTTATATGGAACCGTGTGAGTGCGTTTTGTAATAAGTTCCAGTTGTAAACTGTACCAAAAGTTTTACCGGGTCATGTTTACTGCCGCGAAAATGCATTGTATGTAGTAAGTATCTACTTATGTTATTCTGACCCAAAAATATATTTTTACGTTAACCGTAAGGGAAAGCAAGTCTTGACTGGTTTAAAGTTTTACGGAGTTAATAATTATTTATTTGTGTTTAATAGGTAGGTACTGCATTAACTAAAATGGTTAATATGATCTGTGAACTATTTAAAAACTTTGTATAGCGAGAATTTATCATATTCTATTTTATATTTTTTTCTTTCGTTTATTGAGTTCTACTAACTAATATTAATTGATGATTGTGCTCTTATGAGTGGGGTCTGGTTGTTTAAGTAGACAGCAGAATTCAATATATACCTACATTCCTACTGAGATTGTGAGCTTTTTCATTAAATTATGTTCACAAACTAATTATAACAAAATTAAAATAATTAATGTACTTGCACCCAAGATCGCCCGGTTCCTAGGATGGCCTACTTTTAAAATTTTATACTTTTACTAATTCGAATGACTTGAAGTTTGGGAGGTTTCATAGACTTATGTCTGCAAATTCATTTCTCAGGAAAGGAGCCGCCATCATTGCAGCGGTTGATAGTTTGTCAGTGACGTTGCAAATGGATTATGATTTGTATCCTCATATTCAGTGACGGCGCTAGACCACATGTGGACGTCGGCGACATCAAGTTTGCGAGGCCTATTTTACTTCGCAGTGAGCCAAATTATAAAATAACGTATGAGTAAACGAGTTTTATCAACAATAAAACTCGTTTACTCATACGTTATTTTATAATTTGAAATGATGACAAAAAATAATTACACACATAGAAATTTAATTACAAAAATAGTGCTGCCAGACAGACGATTCTAAATACCTGTAAAGTACTACTCGCTTTCATCACGCACGCATACCACCATAAGGGTACCCGAGATAGTCCGCGCCTTAGAAAAATATAGAATATCATTATTATCACCAAATATGAGAATATAAATGTGAGAATAATTTGTTGGTATTAAAAAAAATACCAATAAGCCACCGCGACCATAATGCTCAGTACATCCGCCCGGAAAGCGGAAGGTCTGGGTTCGAGTCCCGTCTGCTGCCTGGTCCGCGTGGAATATTTTCTAGTAACATTTTAAATAAAACTAGTTTTTACGGGTTAATGCACGAAACTTTATTTATTTATTGACGTTTCGTAGACTTTACAGGCTTCGTCGTCAGAAGTAGAGTAGAGTAGTGTGTAGTAGAGTGATGTGCGTGAAAACCTAAGAAACAAATATAGTAACATTTTCTTCAGATTAAGTTAGATGCTTAAAAATAAAAATAGAATGTTCTTAATTAATTTTATTTCGAGACTTATTTTATAAATTAATTAAGTTTTGCTAACCCGAAGATGACCCACCGTACATTTTATTATCAAAAAGGATATATCAGGCTGAATACCTAGAAATATCATATATATGTTAATATTTGAAACAAATACATAGTTTTTTGTTTTAATTCAGATTATAAATTACGTTTCTTATGGCGGGCCATGATACCTAAATACCTATGTTCCTAAGAAGGCCTACTATAGACGCAGGTATTTATAAAACAATAATTGTTTTCTTAAATAAAATATATCAAATATGTTGATTTGTATGGTGAATTTATTCAAAAATAAATGTTATTTCAAAATTTTCCTTAACTAAATTATATTTTTTTCTTTAATACCTATGTACCTACTTATCTATTCATGAATAAAAGGATCGACATAAAATAAAGAATGTTAATGGACCAGCGAAATAAAATGGAAAGTCATCTCTCCGAATTTCCCATTACGGAATCAATACACAAACGACACGTCATTTCCGCCTACAAATAAATTGTGCATCGGGTAAAAGTACCTACCTACATAACATAGATAGCTATAATGAATAATTCCCGGGCATTTACCGATGCACAGTCTACGAAAATAAATAAACATGACCAGTTCGGTGGTTACATGAAAATTTTATTCATTGTGGGCATCGCTAAAAGACTAATTGAATCGTTATAATTATGTATTGTTAAATGTTTCTTTCTTTATGAAGCGCCTGATGTTTACAAACAATTATAAAAGTTTTTGTTGTGCGACTAATTGCGCATAGTATTATTTCAGGCGTTAGACTTGAATCGTATCGAAGCGAGTTAAAATGTAGTTTGATGTATCAATCAATGCGTGATGAATCTAGTGCGTGATTTTCAGAGTGCGTGCGAAATGATTTGCCGATAATAAATGAATCAATCTATCAGCAGCATTCTAAATTTGAATCTGTGCTTGCTTGCATGGGCATTTATGAGCAGACGCGTAGACGGATCACTTATATTAGTGACACGCCCATAGTTAAAGCTGAAAACCAGAAGTAGGTAGGTAGGAATCAGTGCCGTCTTTGACCTATTGGAGGCCCTGGGCATATTAGGATAATGGGCCCCTATGACTTCCGTTTGGTGATTTAACAGGAACTAGGGACTTTGTATTTGATCTGATGGGGCCCCCTATCGATGGCGGGGCCCTGGGCACTTGCCCAAAGTGCCCACTGGGAAAGACGGGTCTGGTAGGGATCTATCATCATCAAAGTCTATTGATGTCCCCATTGCTGGGGAGAAGGAGAGAAAAAGGAGAGAAGGCCTGCGGTCTCTATAATGGATGTAGTAGGGAGATAGGGCCGTGCATGAGCGTGACTAGTTTTACCAACTTTTTTCTAACAAACATAGCATTTTCGGAGCTATTACCTCTAAAAATATAGTATAGTAGATGACAAAAAGTGGAAAAAATATAGTACGTGGTTAAAATATTTACTTTATTTTTGAAATGAGTATATTTTTGCTGCTATACCTTATACCTTACCCATATACCTTAATACTTAAGTTTTTATTTTAAGAAAGCTTTTACTGGCAAAATCTCCTTTCAGCAAAATATAGTATAATTTTTATTTTCTAGCATGTAACTGCTTGATGTTTAAATCTAAAGAAAATATAACTAAATAAAACTAGTTTTTACGGGTTAATGCACGAAACTTTATTTATTTATTGACGTTTCGACGCCTCTCTTGAGTTTGTTTCGCCGGTTCTTCTCAGGAAGGTCTCCCAATTTTGGAACCGGTGGTAGTTTACGGTAGTTAGGGTCAAATAAATAAACTCAAAATTACAAACAAGAATTTTAAATAAAATACTTTATTAAGTAAATTAAATAATAAATTCATACATAGACAATAAAACTTAAAAATCGAACAATGAAATAACCAAACGCTCAATAAAAGTCTTTCGAAGGTAGCTCGACAAATTAAATAAAAGTTTTATTCTGACGACGAAGCCTGTAAAGGCTACGAAACTTCAATAAATAAATAAAGTTTCGTGCATTAAACCGTAAAAACTAGTTTAATTTAATGAGTGATGTGCGTGAAAACCTAAGAAACAAATAAAATATAACTAGAAAAATATCCACGTGGACCAGGCAGCAGACGGGATTCGAAGCCGCACCCTTCGCTACGGGCGAATGCGCTGACCAATTATGCTACCGTCGAAATTCTTCTAGCTATTCTTAAGCTGCAAGGCATAATTAGTCAGTGCATTCGCCCGGATATCGAAGGGTGCGGGTTCGAGTCCTGGTCCGCGTGGATTTTTTCTAGTTATATTTTCTTTAGGTTTTTAAAATATAGTAGTTAGGCTTATATATATCTTATATTTCAACTAGTTATTCGAATTCGACATCGTTCGTGCTAAGGGCATCGTGTGGGGCAAAATGCTGCACTATGTATGTGTACGAAAAAAAAAACACTTAAAACTCATAATATTATCTACTTGAACAAGGTCTGAAAAGTCTAGTGAATCTACCTGTTGGCCTAGATGGCATATAATTATGGCATCGTGATCATTTTCCATTCATAACAAAAGTTAGATCAGGGAATGTCGGGCGCAAATGCAATTCCACGCTACAGGGTACCTCATAGAAAGTTAACCGAAGTTAGGAGGCGAAATGTGCTCCAAATGTTATTCTGTTGATGTCAAAATAAATATATTAATTAGAATTGGTGACAAGCGCGAATCCGACTTTTGTTGCAACGGTTCAGAAAAAGTGTTTGTTTCGGTTTTACATGGAATGGACAGGCATGTATTCATTAGTTGGATTATTTATACGTAGATTTCTTTAGAAAAAATTTGGAGAGGACCCCCGATTTTTCCACTTTAATTGTTCGTCTGAGGAAGTGCAAAAGGCTGCGGGCAGGTTGTCTGAGTTCTTAGGATATGTTTTTCTCTTCATCTTCTTAGTTTCTCTCATCGTTACATATAGGTAAATCATTTCGAGCACTTTCAAGAATTTACACGTTTTAAAGAAAATTGGGACTGGAACGCGCACTTTCCGCTATCCGTGCGGATGCACTATCCATTATGCTAATGGCCGTGTCGAATTTCTTCTATTAATTCTTAGGCTGCAAGGAAGTCTAGCAGTTAAAAGCTTGAAAAGATAAAATTGTTTTTTTTACATTTTTCACTTTACAAGTTTCTATTCCATTGGGCCAATTTATTAACTCTTCCTACACGTTTTATAGTTATTTATTCAAGTGTTGCATAATGAGGGGTATTAAAACACATTAGTGTGATACTATTATCACGATTTCAATGTTGGCAATAAGTTAACTGTTTCAGAATCTTTAATAGCGGTTTTTAAAGCATGGGTGTAGATAAAAGGTTTTTTTAATGAGTAAGGTTATTATTACCTAGGTAATCCGATGAAGTGCAATAGTATGTTGTTTCTACTTAAAACTAACTTAGTTCTGGGCATATTCCATAACAATTATTGACAAAATACATCACAATCCGTGCAGTT